GGCGACGACAACTTGCCGTAAGCCCTCACTCCGCCCGAGCTACGCGCATATAATGCTCGGATAATATTCACATATTTCTCAGGTACACCTTTCCTGAGTAGACAATTCCAAAGGACACATCAATCAACCGAATCGATTGCACCTTTGATGTCCAGAAACACGACAACGGTGGGACGCCAATATATGTGACGGTTCTGCAACAACTGACGCGTGGTGAAGATGTGGTCAATGCAACCACAACCCCGACGAAATCCAGCTTGCTCTTCACGAATCTGGCTTTCACGAGTGCCAGTCAGTCTGTGAAGGACAACAGAAGCAAGCAATTTGGAGGCGATGGAGATCAGACTGATTCCTCTGTGGCTACCGCATTCCGATCGTGAGTCTCCTTTGAAAATTGTGACTATGACAGAGCGGCTTCAGTCGGTTGGGACAGTTTCCTGCTCCCACAGTCTCACTAGTAACTCGTATAAATCATCCACAAGAGCAGGTCCCCCGAATTTGAAGAGGGCTGGAGGAAGGTCATCAGGTCCCGCGGCTTTATTTAACTTTAACAGTTCCATCTCACGTTCGACTTCTGAACGAGACGGTGGATCCAAAGGGACAGCCCAGGGAGCAGGGCGATCAGTGGCAGACGAGAAACCTAACAATTCTGATCGATTAAATTGCCTTTCAAAGTGCTCAGCCCAACGCTCCAAGTGTTTTGATAAGTTGTGGATAGGCTGTCCACTCTCGTCCCGTATAGTTTCACTAACACCAGGTCTTCTGCTGCCCGTTTCCCGTATCAGACGGAATAACTTACGATGGTTACCAAGGGCAGCGGCCATCTCCATCTCTGATGCACGATGAGACCACCAGGATTCGCGGTCTCTCTTCAGGTTAGCACGGAGTTTTGCCCGGAGCTCTTTGCGAGTTCCCTTGTGTTCGCTTCCATTCGGAATATGCCGGCGAGCATCTATAAGTTCCAAAGACTGTGAAAAGACCCAATGTCCATGTTGGCGATTAGACTTACCACATGTGGATTTACCTGCTGCTAGTTAGGACGGGTGAAGATGAGACCAGTGAGCTTCAACTGCATCCAGTGAGCGCTTACTCAACTCGCATGACAGCGTACTTTGATAGGCTTTCAGATCAGCTGGTTTCGCCAGTTGGTTGGTGTCAATGTGCCCACAACGTCGTCTTGGGCGTCCGCCAAAACGCACCCGCAGGTCAGCACATACAAGTGCATGGTCGGTGTCCACACATGTGTTCCAAATCGAGCGACAGTTCTTGACGCAGCCTCTCCATCGGTAACTTATCGCGATGTGATCGATTTGCGTCCATAGCTGGTTCGAGGTTGGTGGGCGCCAAGTCACCCTCCGGCGGGTGCTGTATCGGAAATTAGTGCTCGCAAGAAATAAGCGAGCATCCTCACACAAATGAAGTAACCGCTCACCATTATCATTACGGGAGCCTATGCCATGTTGGCCGCCCAGATGCAGCTCATCTGTGAATAATTTGCCAACTTAAGCGTTCAGATCCCCAGCCAGCACTACAGTGTCGGTGCTACTTCTGTGGCGAAGGAGCTGAGTCAGTTAGCGATAGAAGTCATCAAGTACCGAATCATCACTAGTTTGTGGGTGCATAGCCAACGATGACGAATAGACACCTGTTAGTCCCACGCGACCTCGAAGCTTTGAACGAGCCAGCCAATGCAACCGCACACATCCGGCTACTGATTGGAATCCAATCAACCAGAGCAGCTTCTGCCCGGCGGCTCAGGGTCATACCAACACCAGCTTGGCCGGTGCTTGAAGCTGCATCGTCACCGGATAGGCGCAATGAGAAAATACTGCTTGCATCACCTGAATGGGATCGCAAAGTGAGCACAGAGCTCGAATCGTGCAGGCCGGTCTCCGATAAGCAGCAGATATCGAACGACAGGGTCTCTAATGTTCGGGCAAGTGCTGCATGTTGACCGATCTGTAGCAATGTGCGTACATTGAGGCATGCCAATCTGAAGGAGGATCGAAGGCTCCAAATGGAAGTCGATGAACTGGGCTTGTCCGTTTGGTTGGACATGAGTCTGTTGACAGGGCAGGAATGACGCTCTACGTTCACATGTGAGTTGAAACGAAAAGACAAGCGACTATTGAAGCAAGGTGGGGGAGGGCCGAGAATTGGGGGATTGAAAACTGAGGGGATAAAAGTGAAGCTGGAACGGGATGATAAGGGTGAAAAAGCGCAAGAGGGGGAATAAGAAGACGGGAAGGCTTGAGCAGTAGCATCCAAACCCCCATCCACCCTGCCCGATGCAGTAGATAGGGCACCGTTGGTTATCCTCTGCGGTGGCCAGAGCATCAGAAATTTCTTTGAAGTGAGATTCAGTGTATTGCTTGGGCAGGATACTGTCAGGTTGCCCAGGCCTAGACAGGGGAGTAGAGAATGTGAAGCAAACATTCAGTGTTAAGGCAGCTGAAGCTTACCCACACCACCAGGTCACAGGTATCTGGTCGCCGTGCAAAGTTAATTTAGCAACAGTAAGATAGCTTCCTTGAGGCTTTAATTGCGATACCTACGTCATCCCACAAATGGCCAAGCATCATACGCATTATCAGTGAGCACATTAGGTTAGGAACGACGACAGACACGCGACGGAGGTCGGTCGCGCGGACATTCAGCCTCATAGGGGTGGCAGATCAATGGTATCCAGTCTAGTGGTCATTTCACAATAGTTCGAGAGCCTCCTCTTTGTTAAACTGACTGGATTACGAGTGCATCTAAAAGGCTTCACTGCCAAATATCATTTGGCAGGTGGATCTCTGGTTACTTT